TATTTGAGGGTCAGAACGAGAGGCTGGGCCAACCTTTGCCGCTGCGTTACCTGTTGTGTAGTGAAATGTGAAATTCAGGGTCCGGGTTTCATTTGGTGTCTTTTATGAGCACTGCATGTACGCTAAGTTTATAAAAGCCCCGCAGTTCTTCCAAGTCCATAATTAAACTCCAAGTTTGTAATTTTTCCTTGCTATGGAAAGCCTTGCAATTGTGGCTCTTTAATTTCACCTGGGAAAGGATTATAGAGCTTTCTGATTTAATGAGCAGGTTTCACGTTAAATGTTGTCTGATTCTGAATCTCTTACCAAGGTAGAGACTGTTCCAAGAACAGGAAAGGATAAGGAAACTGATTTCCTTCAAGTTAGTTCCTATATGAAAAATTTAATTATGTCTAGTGAAATGATTTTTAAGAATGAGATGATTGTGTAAAATTAATTACTTGGTTTTAAAACAGCAAGATACTAAGTTAGACCTAAACAAAAACACTACTGTTTGCTTTTTACACGCAGATGACTTCCGTTAAGTGTGAAATAAACTTTAAAAGGCATAAAAATAAATACAATAGACTACTTGCTAAATGAGAGCATCCTGGGGACTTGATCGCTCGAGTAAGTTACAACATTGCTACACATGAATAGTAGGGACTGAACTGCAGTTGGACTAAATCTTTTGGCCAGTATTGGGTTGAATGAGACTTTTGATATCTCAGCCATAATGAATGAAGTTAAATTCCTCTCCACCGTAGCTTTTTGTTGCTGTTATTTATTTTTACTTATTTATTTGAATTGTAGCTACAGTTAGAAAAGGTTTCCTGGGATTAGGAAGTGTAATTATTTAGGCAGCAAAAAGTTGTTTTAGAAATTTTACTATCATTAGGAGGAAGTTTTAAAAGGCTGGAATTCCATTGTCTTGTAAGAAGTAAGAAATATTTATTGATTCCCAAATGGAGCTGAAAAAAACCTTTCCTCTTTTAGAAAGCTGTGAATGACCCAGCGAGAGCTCTAGTAAGCTTTACTGAACCAAGCTGCTAATAGTTATTTAATGTTATTCTTCAGTGTGAAAGAATCTCCCTAGATTTTCCTTTTAATCTCTTTGAATTGCAGGCTCATAAACCTCTCTGATGAGTCCTGCCAGTGTTTTCTTAGATCCCACCGTTGAGACAAAGGAGCCACAGAATTCTTTCACCTCTTGTTGTCAGACAAATCCAATAGAACACAAGGTCAGAAGGGCCTGTACTTCTGAAGGTTGAAAGATTCTTTTCCAAGTAACCACATAAATTATTTGATTTTATCATTATATTCCACAGGAATCTCTCTTTATAATGCATTGCTTTCTATATGTAAGTAAATTTGGATCTTTTTCTTGTCTCCATATTTGGCTAAGCTTTGGCTATAGCACAGGATGTGAACGGACCTACATACCTTAGAAAAGCTGAGCCCATTTACTTCAAAAGAATTAGGAATCATGTAGTGTAATTGGACTTAAGATAGAGTACCCAAATGCCACACATTGCATTTTCTTTCCAAATGGCTGGGTTTGTTTGTTTTTAAGTTATTACCATTCTGGAGCTAAGATTCCAGATTTAAATCTTGTACCTATTCCTTTAATTAAATCGCGAAGTCAGTTTATGTTTTCTCAATATTTTTAGTAATGTCAAGTTAACAAGAAAACTTTGAGATAGAATTTACATTTTCAGATACCTATTGAAATATTTCATTGTAATGAGCAAAAATATTTATAATATGTAATACTCAAAAGAAAAGGAACTTACCTACTTTGCAGATGCCATGCCTGATTAGAAGACAATTATCAAAGCTAATTACAGGGTTTCTGTGAGTTACTTTACAGGCTAGGGAGGAATTAAGTTTTCTAATTATAACGACAATGGTGGACAAGCAGAGATCATTGTTTAAAAAGAAAAAAAAAAAAACATTGATTTGTTTGTGCTCCTTCCTTGTAATCGTAGTTAGGGGGGAAGTTGCTGTTGCCCCATTCCCTGGACACCTGCCTCTCAACAAAGGATTGGGGTCACCTCCCCACCCCCTACATTTAGATTCACCTTTTACTTGTATGTGTACCCCTTCTGCTCATTATACAGTTCTCCAGGGATCCAGTTTTCCCTGAGTTAATCACCCCCAGCCTTTTTCAGAAGTTGTTTAGATTACCGTCTTTTCAAGGAATACACACTTTCTTAGGCTTTTAACTCTTTTCCCTAACTTTTGTTTCCTTATTTCTATTAAAAAGGGTAGGTCTTGGAGTCTCAGGACACTACCTTTAAAACTTTTTGTTGAAATGTATCATACCTGCAGAGAAGTGCACCAATCCTAAGTATCCAGCTTGATGGATTTTCACAATAAACATACCCATCTACCCAGCACCCAGAAGGTCCCCTGTGCCTCCGTGTCGTCACCACTTTCCCTCACACCCAACACCACAGTGTCCTGCAACAACTCAGGGTAGTTTTGCCTGTTATATTTTATATAACAGGGAATCATTAGTATGTTCTCTCTTGTGTCAGATAGGACTTTTAAAACCAGAATCCCCACAGAAACTTGGACTGTGTCCACATAATATTGAATGATTAGATCAAATAGATAGACAGCCACAGAACATGAGAATATTTTTTAATATACTTCTTTTAATTCTGACCTTGGGCAAAGTACTAACCAGTTTTGCGTTCTGTTTTCCCTCTTATTATGAGATACCATGTAAGTTGACCTGTCAACTAAGAAATAGCTTGCTACTCTAAAGTTACTGTACATAAAGAAAAAAATTAAAATGTAAAGGCCCCTTTTTTTGAGGAAGTAGAATAATAGAGAGGTCCTCCACATGAAACAGCAACTAGGTGAGCATAACAGTAGCTTCCTCGTGGAGAAGCACAGCAATATGCTGACTTCCTTGGCAGTTATCTTAGCCAGTTATTTTTCATTTATTATTTTCAAATAAAAATAGCATAATGGATATATATGAATGGGTTGTCTTTTTGTGTAATTGCTGTATTGCAGGTGTCCAAGATAGGTTAGAGTAAGGCTTATTCCTCTTGTCATTACCTCTGCCTTGTCTGATTTGCTTTAATTGATTTCAAAATTACTGAAGGTATCGATCAGATACCCTGGAGTATAGCTGGCTTGATTGTAAATTATTTACATCTATTTTTCCTCTACAGTCTGTTAAGTGCCAATTACCCCCATTCCTTAATCTAAAAGTGTTTCATTTCCCCATTCAAGCAAACTTACCTTAGTCATTCTAAGCAATTGAAACATATGATTAAGATTTTTTTTCTCTCCATGGGACTTTTAGGGAGAATTTTTAAAAAAACTAAAATACTGAATAATCTATAACCAAGTGTGCTTTATGTAGAATGTGGGAATTGTTTTGTTCAGAGATTACCTCACATACTGATATAGTCCGCATAAGCTATTCAGTGGGCACAGAGATGGAGGAACTCCCCCCGACCACTGGGCAATCTTTAATCTTTGGATTTTAGGGTCAGTTTAATAGACTGTTGGTACCCAGTAAATATGAAGTGATATAATATTTGACATACTTAATAGAAAACCACAGTGAGTTCAAAATATTGTATAATTTTTTTATCTATTTTAAAATTGTGTAACTCACCAATAAATTTTGAACAGGCAGTTATTAAATATAATTAAATTGTAGGCATTCACACAACGGAACAAAGGAAAGCATTCTCAGCAAGTGAACAAGAGACTAGTGAGACAGCTAAAGAAAATTTCATTGGGGTGAGGGGTGGATTTTAGTAGTTTCTTTTAAGCATCGACTTCTAGAAGAATAATACAAGCATACATGAAGTATAACATGCCTTTAAAAACAAAGACAAGTGCTTATCTGTTAGTTGTTTTCTTTGTCCCAAAGTATACTTGTTTTAAGCAAGAGTACATGCTTCTACTACCTAAACTATACACTTACTAAATTTAGGTAGAATTCCAGGCTTCCTTGAACCTTCCACCTGCAGGGAAAACTTTGGCCTATGAAATAGCAATAGAACATCAACACAATACAGTTGTATTGTATGGTTATTGTTTAAAGTAAGTCTAAAGTTACCTATTTATCTATTGCAAGCAATTAAAAATCAAATGACTAATAGCCCCTTACATTTGGTTAGAGCTTTAAATTCTTTAAAGTACTTTTAGATTGATCTCATTTGATTAGAACACACTGGTATTAGTCTGCTCTGACTGTCATAAGCAAATTCCATAGACTGGGTGGCTTAAACAACAGAAATTTATTTCTCATAGTTCTAGAGGCTGGAATTCCAGATCAAGGTGCCAGTCAGTATGGTTCCTGGTGAGGGCTCTCTTACTGGCTGTAAATGGCCTCTTTCTTGCTGTGTCTTTGATACTTTCCTCCGTGCCTGTGCATGGAGAGAGACCCTCTCTCTTCCTCTTCTTACAACGCCACCGATCTATCAGATTAAGATCCCACTCTTATGGTCTTATTTTACCTTTATTACCTCCTAAAAGGCTTATCTCTAAATACTTCAATGTATGAATTTGGGGGGTACACAATTCAGTCCATTAACAACCCCTCTGAAGTAGATAAGAGCTCAGTATATCTAAGGTATATTTCTAAGGTTAGAAAGCTGGTAAAATATTACAGCTAAGGTTCAAAAACAGTTATTTTTGCCCAACTCCATGCTTCCTTCCTTTGTTACAGGTATAGTTTGTCTGACAAAAAAAAAAATCCCTATCTCTCACAAAGATAGGGGTTACTAATCACAAGGAATCACCAAAATCAATTCCATGGTTTTTGCATGTTGCATGTTTGTGGAAAATTGGATAGATTTTGACTGCTGAAGTTCGTAAGAAGTGGACCCCAAGTCAGGTAGCCTTAAAACTGCTGTCAGAAGTAATAAACTAAGTTTTTAAATGGTAAGTAAATTACAGCTGTAGTCACCGGGCAGTAGTTGTCTTTTCAGCATTCTTCATGGTTATAGTTAAAGTGCTGAATAAATATCACATTTTATATTTTACAGAGGAGGATCTAAGAAATATGGGACCAGTAGATGCTCAAGTATATCTTGAAGAAATGTGTTGGAACAAAGGTTGGGATTTTTTCTCTTGACTACAGTAAAGAAAAATATTACGGATTTTCTTCGAAAAGAAAAACTCTCATAGGATATTTGGAAATCTAAAAAAAGTAGTAATAGCTTGGCTTTCTAAATATATATATGTGGGTGGTTTTAGGAATATTTCTCATTCTAAACTTCAATTATTGATGTCCCCCATATGACTCATTTCCAGTTATTTTTCTAGTCTAATTAGATGTTAGGTATAGAAGGTTTCATAAGGTTTTCTTTTTTAAATTACTTGGGTTTGATTTACTTTCCATCTGTGTAATAGGGAAAATAAAGTTAAGATAATTTTTTCCATCCTTCCTATGTTGACATATGAGATGAATTCCTATTAAAATTTTTGTTTATTTTTATTTCTTTACATGGAATTATAAACTATCAGGGCAGGGCTTTTAATATTATACTCTTATGCTTGGAGCTTGGTTTTTACCCTCCCTTTTTGATTTTATGTCAGGTGAAAAAGAAAAATTTGTCACTCCCTTTTACCTCCCATGACATCTTATCTTTTTCCCTTTTCTATACCTAGAATTTTATTTTATTTTATTATATTTTAGAGAGAGAGAAAGAGTGCACATGGAGGGAAAGGGACGAGCAGACTCTGTGCTGAGCCCGACACAGGGCTTGATCTCATGATCCTGAGATCATGACCTAAGCCGAAATCAAGAGTCAGACGTTTAACCAACCGAGCCACCCAGGCGCCCTCTATTACTAGAATTTTATGACTTAAATCTAATTTCTCTATTGTTCTGATAGTTTTCTGAATTGCTCTGGTTAGACACTGTTAAGTTCCTTCTTCTAAATAGAACCCATGTGAATATCACACATCCATGTTTCTCTGGGAAAATGAAGAAAATCTTAGTATTTCTTAGAATTTTTATATACTTTAACCCTATAACTATTGTTCAGCCTGGAGTAAAAATTCCCTAGGGGTTTATAAAAATTGACTAATGAGTGTGGATAGGCAGAAGATAAACAGCCCATCCATCCGTCCTGAAACCAAGTTTACTGGAATTTTTTTTTTAAAGAATTTTTTTTAAGATTTTTTTTATTTATTTGACAGAGAGCAGGAGAGAGAGAGAGAGGACACACAAGCAGAGGAAGCAGCAGAGAGAGAGGGAGAAGCAGGCTCTCCGCTGATCAGGGAGCCCATTGTGGGGCTCAATCCCAGGACCCCGGGAACATGACCTGAGCTGAAGGCAGACGCTTAGTTGACTGAGCCACCCAGGTGCCCCTGTGGCTCAGTTGGTTAAGCGTCTGCCATCGGCTCAGGTACTGAGGATTGAGCCCCGCGTAGGGCTCCCTGCTCAGGGGGGGGATTCTGTTTCTCCCCCTCCCCCACTCGTGTTATCTTTCTCTCTCTCTCTCCCTCAAGTAAAATCTTAAAAAAAAAAAAATTTTAAATATTTATAAAATAAAATATTTTATAATTTAACTTAGTGCTCTTGCTCTTAGGACGGTGGGTAATAGGCTATTGACTTAAGAGGAAAATCATGTTTTTGCCTCTGGGCCGCTCTGTTCCTAAACTGCCAAATGAGATTCTAGAATATAAATTCTTATTTGCAGTGAATGATTGAGAAACTTGAGGTTTTGTGTAACTGGGGCTCCCAGGGTTTGATAATAGTTTCATCAGAGTAAACAAGAGCACTACTGCTATGAAAGTAGAATATACTGGTAACATAGGCTTTAGTGAAAGGCTTCTAGTTCATGAAGGGGACATACTAGAACATGTCATTTATCAAGGAGACCTGCCCAACTAAATACATTTTTTGAAACTACAGTATTGCTGTCTCATCAGCTAACATTGTGTGTTTAATCTCTTCTTAGACAAATTAGTTCTTTTTGCTGCAGCTGATTAATTAACATATTTTGTTTCCTCATGATTCCTGATAATATGAAAATAGTCAAAACTAGTTTTGTATTTTTTCCTTCAGTAGCGTTTTAAAATAAGTTTTTATTTTAAATTAATATGGATTGGTGGTTCAAGCATCTGTTCAGTCAACAGATACAGTGAGCTTTCTTTTTTTTTTTTAGATTTTATTTATTTGACAGAGCACAAGCAGGGAAAGCAGCAGGCAGAGGGAGAGGGAAAAGCAGGCTCCCTGGGATCCATTACCTGAGCTGAAGGCAGACGCTCAACTGACTGAGCCACCCAGGCGCCCCTAAGCTTTCTGATACAAGTGAAAAAAACAAGATAGTGAAAGAAATGTACAACATGAAATCCTCAAGTTATAAATGTGTTACTATCCTTGGAATTTCCTTAAGTAAAGATGACAGTGAAGATACAGAAGAATCCGAACCACAGCCAATGAATCAGTTACTAGAAGCTAGAGTTAATCTTAAAAATATAGGACCATCCTTAGATACTTATTTAAATTAAGGGTTTTTTATAAAGATGGAAATAATCTTTATTTTGTGAGAGAAAATACTGAGTAGCAAACAGCTGCATGAAGCCATTATTTCTGCAGGGATATTTATAAACTAATAATGTAAGTTTTGCAATTGAAAAGAGCAGTCTTGGCAGATGAAAATTCAATAAAAAGTGCGATCAGCTGGGCAAATAAAAAATTGAAGATTCCTTCCTGGCCATTTTCAGAATAACCTTGGAAAGTGAAGATCCAGAGCAGGAGAAAAGTGGATGAAACCCTACATGATAGACGTAGCCAAATTACCATATTCTTGAGCTAAGGACAGTATGAAACAATGCGTTTTATTACGCTTAAAAGCCATCCCTGAAGAACTGTTGAGAGTGGTTAACCTTTCCGCTTAGGGTTAGTCTGTTTTACAACTTGGTTATTTTGTCTTCAGTGTATTTAAAATGATTTCTGTGAAGATATCACTTTGTTGAGTCATAGAATAATATAAGAAGAAATGTAACAAGATGTGAATTTTTAGTGAGCATTAACATTTGGAATCATCTATGACAAAATTCCACAGTAGCCCACGGTGGCCTCTGCATCATTTACTGAGCACCTGTCACCTCAAATTGTTTCTCAATGTTCACTGAGATGGTAAAAAAACAAGAGGGACATTTAGCTTAAGAAAACCAGTGGTTAGAATATGTACATTTTTAGACAATTTAATAATGAAACAATTCACTTTTGAAATTGGCTCAGACAGGGAAGCTATTAGCATTTTAAAATTCCAAGATTAAATTATTTTTCTTTATGGACAAAAAAGGCATTGTGGTGAAAAATAAAAAGGAGGATTAGGTGAATGAATTCATGTTTTCCTTACTGGTAAAAGAAACATGTAAAGTTGGCTTATTTGTTAATTTTTCCAGGGCCATATTTGATTAGAGAACAAATACAAGGCAGTTGAATTTTTTCTTTTCTTTTTTTCTATTAGTGGCATATGATGAGATCTGAGTGTTAAGGAATAAAGTTTGAGAATTGAATGAAGTTATTTGATGTATCTAATAAATTATGACTGTTGTACAGTAAGGTGATCAGTAATTATTTTTCTTTTACAGTCACTTCTCAGTGACATTGAAATGGAATGACCAGTGGATCAGATTCTTTCAGTTAAAGGACATGAGCATTTCAGGTTCCCAAGAAGATGGTAGACTTAATAAAATTTCCACCATTAGTAGGCTAAATGTTGTGCCGTATCGCCTCTGTTGGGCATCTCACTTCACAGAAATAGTGATACTGGAACAGAGTATCTAAATGTTGAACTTGATAAACAGTTAAGTTAGCAGGGCGCCTGGGTGGCCAGTTGGTTAAGCGTCTGCCATCAGCTCAGGTACTGAGATCGAGCCCCGCATAGGGCTCCCTGCTCAGGGGGGGATTCTGCTTCTCCCCCTACCCCACTCGTGTTCTCTCTCTCTCTCTCAAGTAAAATCTTAAAAAAAAAACAAAACAGTTAAGTTAGAGTCTTCTCTAAAAGAACATATTCCAGGCAAAAGCATGTTGCTCTACAGTAAAACATGGAGAGCTATGTCTCTTTCCTTCACAGTAGTATTTTTGACCGATACATTATTGAGAGGAATGTAAAATTTATATGGATCTTAAGAAAACAGAAGACTTCAAATAAATGTCCTGGGTCACTTCTGAACATCTGCTCTCCCTGCAAGATCTTTGGCTATTGATTTGTAGCTTTAGCCCTCTACAGATCTCTACAGATCAAGATTTTTTGGTAGATAATTTTTAGAAATACTGCCCCATTACAAGAATTTGTTTCAAGTTTTCATTTAAGTATGTTTTATACTTGATGTTTTGCAATTTCTATGAGATAAACTGCATTTTTAAAAAAGTTGTTGAAATAGTTACAAGCGTCTGAGGCATTATTTTTGTTTGTTTTTTTACAGATGATCACTCTTTTTCTCTGAGTTGCCGATGTGGTGGAAAATACAGTGTTTCTAAGGATGAAGCAGAAGAAGTTACCCTGATTTCTTGTGATACATGTTCACTAATTATAGAACTCCTTCATTATGGCTGAAATTGTTCACTAAGTGGGATCCTTTAACTGTGTATTCAGACATGTTGAAGAGAGCCAATTCAAGTAAATGTATAAAGCTGATAAAAATAAGTAGGATTCTTTTTTTGGTCAGCTTTTATTTGCAGAGAAAGTATAAGACTGTCAAGCAAGGGCCACCCCAGATTAATAGAAAATTAATTTAGTTACTTATATGTATTCATATTTTATATTTATAGATCACCAAAAAAAAAAAGGACTTGAATTATAAGTTATATTTTGTGAATTCCCATCTGAGAACTTTGTTATTTGGTCCATTTTTCCTTGGTATAAGAATTTTCCTTTTCTTTAAGCATATCTCCTCTTATAATGGGTCACAGTATCATCATGTTCCTTATAGTTACTGAGTTTCTGAAGTAACATGACATTTCTAGCTGCTAAAGTTACAGGCCTATTGTACAAGTATCTCAAAGTCTCAAGTCATTAGGATTAAATTATAATCTTTGTGAATAACATGTGAGCCTAGTACTCCCATAATGAGGGCTGGATATGGATATTCATGAAGTTAGTTCAAAGTTAATAAAGAAGGTAAAGTGGCAACTGTAGAAAGGATAGCTCTGGAGTGAAAAGACTTGACTCCAGTCCTGACACTGTATTTCCAGATTCTTCGTGTGGCTACATTAAAGGGAATAAAGCTTGAACAATGCCATCTTCAACTTTAAATGTAACTTAGGAAATGGTAGCTTTAAAAAAAATAATAATAATTTGAAACAGATACATTATTTTCCTTTTTATTTCAAAGTACTAAGTATTAATTCTTATATTTATGAAATAGGAACCACACTGCATTGCTGGTATGATCAACTGGACTTTTATAATGTTATTATTGATTATAATAGACTTTAAAGATTTTGTCTTTCTGTATATTTGATACTTTATGTACAGTATAAGTCAGGACTCATTTAAAAAAAATTGAGGAATCCTTTATGGAATCGCTGGAACTTTATTACTTAATTTCAAATGAGTGAACCGAGCATGTGCCATAGCAGCTTTTTATTAGGTTGAACCCATGGTATTTATTATTGGTTTGTACTTAAAAGACTAGTTACTGCTCTGATATGTAAATGTAGCAAAAGTATGAGGCATATTCAAGAAAAGATTACTTTCATTATAGCTATAAAACCAAAAATTCAGAAGTGAGGTTGTCATCCAGATTTTTTCCCTAAAAATATTTTTGTATCTTTCATAAAATTTAGATGACTTACTTTGGATTACATTTTTATCCATATATTTGGAACTAATAGAGCTTGCAGTATGTGTCATTTATTATTTACATATAACAATTACAAATGATTAAAACTAAGTAGCAAATAGTTTATTAGTTAGTACATGGTTTCAGTGGCAATAATAAATTCACTTGGAGAGAAAAATCAAAACAATAAATGCTTGCTAATCGTCAGAAAATCTGTGGCCATTAGGGCTGTCACGTAGAAATCCAAACTCACTCAAAGGCCAAATCTGTAAAATTAAAATGTGATTGAAGACAGTTAATCAAAGTGTTACATCATTATATTCCTTTTTATTCATCCCTTTTCTTTGTGCCATATAAACACTTTCTCCTTATTTTTTGTCAAGAACAAATTCTCTATACCAAAATAAGACTTTAGAAAGTAAACTTGTATGTGCATATGTATTTAAACTCTAAAGTTTGGAATGCTGATATGTTATACAAGAAATTATATGTGTATGGTATATGAATATATATGTATGAGTATGTGTGTCTGTGTTTTCTTTTACTACCCTCAAAGTTAACTGTAAGCCTATGTATTTAAATATAACCTCTGCATAAGTATAAAGAATCCTGCAGATTATCCAACAGCCCAAGTATTCATGTGTTTTTCTTCTTAGTGCTGTGGCAAAAAGGAGGAGCCAGTGAAAATAATCATCATTCCTAAGAGTTCTACATTTACTGTAACCATGGTAAGTCAATGTACTTAACTGGGATATCCCCACTTAACAGTGTAGTTTGACTACACTGCTCTTCTGCAAATGCATATTTATTTCCAAGATATGAATATAGTTGTACAAAAGTTGTATGAGAAAGAATTACATTCTGGAGTGTTTAAGGGCTCCTTATAGCTAAGGTAGTTTGGACTTTATTATTCAAACAAAAAATTACTCTTAATTACCTGTCTCAGTGGGGAAAAAGGTAATGTTTATAGCTATGAAGGCCAACAAGTTCCTAAAATGTAGTCGCTGCAACAGTTAAGTCCACTGACAGCCTGAATATTTCAAAGTTCATTTTGAAAGAAATTTTTTTTTTTCCAGCTCAGAGAAGAAAACCTACATTTTAAGCCGAAAATAATACCTTGAAAAAGATACGTCCTCTTATTAGTCCATATGGAATAGGTCCATAATACCTGGAATCTGTAGAATTCTGTAGATTATCACCTTCTAACCAAACATGACCTGCTGGCACCTAAAATTAGAGAAGAAAGCAGCCCCTTTAAAAAAAACAAAAACAAAAATTTGGGTACTATAAATAAAAAGCATGTCTTTTGGTAGTAGGGAGAAATGTCCTACTAAAGTTCTTGTTTATAAAACACAAACCCTATGATTTGTATTTTTGCTTTTATTTCTTGCACAATAAAATATCTTTTACTAAATATTAGTAATGTTAAGATTTCATCATTTTAAAAGACCTATCTTTTTTGCCACATGGTTCCCAAACATTAATTTGTTACACAAACCCCAAACTGAGGTTATAAGAGATCAAAACAATGTGACAGGGTCATTAATTTAATAGACTTCAAAAGAGGTCATTAGGATGCTGACTGAAAATGTGCCCTCCTGTCTCTGGAACAGCAGAAGCAGGGCAGCCACTCACTCAGCAACATCCTGGGGCCAGTACCACGGCCAGACCTATTAGAGTGCTCATGATGAACTAAATGGTAATTGATTGTGACATCAATTACAAATAATCTCATCATTTTATTGGAGTGGGCTTGTCAGAATTCTAATTAAGATCCCTGTTCTGCCTTTGTACAGGCAATATCTTCAATGCATTATACTTCAATAATGACCATCAGGAACTAGAAGGACCTATTATAAAACCATCAGTTGTAAAATTAATGATGGTGACCTTCTGAATGAAAGACCCTATCTCCTATATTGTCCTATGTATTAACTGGTAAATAACATAAGTTTACATTTTTACTCAATGTCAATACCCTAAGAATATTTAGAACAGAACGTTACCTTAAAAAAATGCGCTCTGTGATATGAAACATTTGCCCATTAATCTATTTTATATAAACTTAAAATCCTTAAAGTAGCATTTTACAAGTTATTTTATAGTCTTTGTTACCCAAGAAAGTTGAATTATTGACCAGACCAAGATGATCTACTGGGAAGGAATTTATTTTCACTTTTTTTTTGACTGGCTGTTTATTACTTGGGTACCTTATGTGAAGAAAAATACTCCTACTGGGTTAAATAAGAAATGACTGCAATTTTACAAAATGTCACAAATTACTGCTTTTAAAAGACTTTTTTAGAGCAGTTTTAGGTTCACAGCACGATCAAGAGGAAGGTACAGAGATTTCTCAGCCACCTCCTGTCTCCACACATGCATAGACTTCCCCACTATTGACATCCCCTACCACAGCAGTGTACATTTGTTATATTTGGTGAACACACATCAACATCATAATCACCTGAGGTCCAGAGTTAACTTAGGGTTCACTCTTTGTGTTGTACATTCTATGGGTTTGGACAAATGTATGACATGTATCCATCGTTATAGTATCAGAGAGTATTTCCACTGTCCTAAAAACCCTGTGTGAGCCGCCTATTATTCATGTCCCCCCCTCCCCATCTCCCATATTACCTTTTGGAAAAATAAATGTATACAAGCATGTACAATCTGAATTTCACTTTACATCAGAGCTTATATAAATTTGGAATGTCTTATGTAGAAATATTTGTCCAAAACAAGTTAATTATTTTCATTTACATACATTTAAATGTTAAATCTATTTGTAGAGAAAGAACTTAAGTTTCCTGAAAGAGTATCAGATGCTGTAAGATCACTTTTTTCCCCCCACTATTAGTGGAATTAAGTTATAGGTTCTAGGGCCAAAAGCAAGACTAATTCCTATCTGTATAAGTGGATTTATGTACAGTCAACCTTATTGTTCAGGTAGAAAAATGAATCCATCTCAGGTCACAGATAAAAAAAAAAATAGTGTATTTGGAAAAGCCATGTGTCATTAACATAGTCTCAAGTGCCACTATGGGAGAAGCTATAATATGGACATCTTTTATGTTTAAATTTCCAGTTTCTCCTTAATATGTGTTTGTTTCTGAGTTCTAAAAAATACGTAATAAACCAAGATCCAATATACATTCCATTTCTTCATGAAGCTCTCCCCAATCTTGCCTGCCCATACCAAATACTCTTGATGGTTTAGAGCACATACTATATAAAGTCTGCCTTAGGGCGCCTGGGTGGCTCAGTTGGTTAAGCGACTGCCTTCGGCTCAGGTCATGATCCTGGAGTCCCGGGATCGAGTCCCGCATCGGGCTTCCTGCTCAGCAGGGAGTCTGCTTCTCCCTCTGACCCTCTTCCCTCTCGTGCTTTCTATCTCATTCTCTCTCTCTCTCAAATAAATAAAATCTTTAAAAAATAAAAAATAAAAAAAATAAAGTCTGCCTTGCCTGGGTCCCTGGATTATAACATCTTACTAAACTGCTTGGCTTTTGTATAAGTCTATTATTTTATGACCAAATAAGCCAATAGACCATAATCGTGTCATGATCTTAATTCTTTACAACACCTAAGCCAAAACTGGAACTCCGATAGTTGGTGGTATTTATTATTAATGTAAGTATAAATTCTTATAAAGCACAATCACTTTTGTCTGATTTTTGAATTCTTCCAAATTAGCGAAATAAAGTGATGAAGTGTTATCTCTGGTATAATAAAATTAACCAGTACAGAACGGAATCTGGAACATATTACCAGAAGCCTTTGGAAGAGGGTGACTCAGGCTATCCTGACCTAGTCCTTGACTGCAACGGGTGGAACATAAAGAAGGAAACAGTAGTGCAAGCCAGTGTATATACATGGCGTTCTGATTAAAAAAAAAAAACACTCATTTGAAACTGAAGTATTATTATTGATAGTTAACAGAAGTAGGTTCAAATATGGGGCATGCTAATTCCCATTTATCTGAAGCCTATACATTCTAATACCCATGCATCCATTTATAGTAAAGGAAATATCCTCTACCTCTCAGACTTGGTGCTTGATAGAAAGTACACAAATCAAGGAAACAGCCTCATCATCAATGGGACCTTTAATAAGAGCTTCTCTATAAACAGGAAAACCTCAAGTTGGATCTTTTAAAATAAAAGCAGTCACTTTTGCTGACCTACCTGTCAATTACTCAGTGTCCAGTAAAAAATACATGATGTTGAAATTATTCCGCTTATTTTTGGTATAGAGTAAGAGTGTACACTTTAAAAATCAGTTTTTTAGAGGTATACTTTATATAGTGTAAAAAGCATTCATTTCAAGTTTGACACTAGTTTTGGAAATGTGCACACCTACATAACTGCTAATTACAATCAAGATGTAGAACATTTTCATCATCCAAAAAGTTCCCTCCTATGCCAGTCAACCTCCCATCCCTATACCTGGTACCAGGCAACTAGTGAGATCTGTTACTAGAAACTAGTTTTACCTGCTCGTAAATTTAATATAAGTAAGATTGTACTATACATATTTATTTTGTGTCTGGCTTTTGTTCATTTTTTTATGATTAATCCAGTTGTATGTATTAATCATTCATCCCTTTTTACTTCTAAGTAGTATTCTATTGTAAATTACAATGTTTGCCCATGAATCTGTTGATGGATATCTTTCTTTGCAGTTTGGGGCTGTTAAGAATAAAGCACTCTAAACATGAATATGTAAGTCCATTTCTTTTCAGTAAATACCAAGGGGTAAAATTTCTAGGCCATAAGTATATGCCTACCCTTAAACTTTTCCAAAATAATTAAATCATTTTTATACTCGCAGCAGAAGTATGAGTATTCCTGTTGCTCCACAACCTTGGTATTTTCCTTTTTAAAAATTTCTGCACTTCTAGTAAACTGTTGGTGTCACATTGTGATTTTCATTTGCAGTTCTCTGATGAACATTTTTTTCTTGTGCCTATTGTATCTTTTGTGAAGTGTCTATTAAAATATTTTTCCTTATTTTTAAAATGGGTTGTTTTCTTACTCATTTTAAGAATGCTTTATTTACCTTGAGTATAAGTCCTGTGACAGGTATTACAAATATTTCCTTCTAGCCTGGGTCTTTTTTATTTTTTTGCCATTTCTAATCTATTGTAAAGCTATACAATGTTTTCTAAGTTCTGTATATTCACTTGGTTCTTTTTGATATTTACCATTTCTTTCCTCATGTTCATCCTTGAGATCCTTGAAAATATTTAGAATTGGTGTTTTAAAGCATGTGTCTGTTAATTCCATTACTTCTGTTATTTCTGGATCTATTTAATTGATTTTTCTTCTGGTTATGGATTACACTTTATTTTTTCACATATCTTGTAGTTTGTGACTGAGCTGGACATTGATTTGTTGAGTGGATTCTGTTTTCTTTACAGCGGGTTGAATATTGAGGTCTCCTTGTTTTGGGGGAGGCAGGTAAGTTAGCTGTGGATCAGCTTATTCCTCTCAAGCCTTGTTTTTAAAGCTTGTCAGGTTGGGTGTATCTCACACTGTACTCTTAGGGCTACTTTAGGCATACTACTAAGTAAGGCATGATATTCAGGGATCTTTACTGAATGTGCAGGATATTCAGTAAGATCTGTCCACTCTGGCTGGTCAGAACTCCAGTGGCTCTCAGCCCTGTGTGAGCTCTGGGAATTGCTCAGCTCCCCAGGCATTCTTTGCTCGGTCTCTACGTTTCACTGTAAGCAGGCACAATTTAGTATTCAGCTCAAAAGCCAAGAGAACACCTAAGGAGATTTACGGTGATCATTCGGTAGCTCTGTTTTCACAGGTAGTCTGATCCGTAAGTTCCAACCACTTAAACTTCCCCTCTATACCAATCTGTCTTCAACTCAGCAAGATGCCTATGCTTTGGCTTGAATTTTACCTCAGTACCTTGTGAAATACCTGACTCACAGCAGGAGTCGGGGCAAGTATAGGGCTTGCCTTGTCTACCCTCTTTTTAGGGATCTGTCCCATACTTCCTGCTATGCATTCTCTGAGAACAGCTGTTTTACATTTTTGTCCAATTTTCTAGTTCTTTATGGCAGGATGGCAAGTTCAGCATCAGTTACATCATCATTACTAGAAACAAATGTTCAAATTATCTAATTTTTAAAGTATTTTTCTTAGCATACCTCATAACAATATGAAGAGAATCCTTGTGGTAAAAACTTAAAGTTTTTGATGTAAGGTAAA